TCAATCAATAAAAATATATTTTTAAAAAATCAAAATAAATAAACAAGGAATCTAATGAATAAAATAAACAGATGAGAATAAGAGAGAACCACAGGCATGGACTGATGAATCTCAGACGGAAGGAGGAGGGGGTCAGGAAGAGATTAATCAAGTAACTTATAGGCATCTATGCACTACAAATGGACATAGGTAATAAGATGATGAAGGCCTGGGGCAGGGTGGGACTAGGAGGATGGGGCAATAGGGAGATAAAAGGTGATATCTGTAATATTCTCAAGAATAATTATTTAAAATAAGTAAATAAATCGGGAATCTTGTAGGCTGCAAATAGCAACAACAACAACAACAAATAAATATCTGTTTTCAGTCAAAATCAGAACTCTAATCTAAGTCAGTGTCCGCTAAAGCTTGAAGGCAGGACAACAGGATAAGGAGGAAAATTTAACACAGGAAACAAGGGGCACTGAGGAGGAAAGAAATGACTCAGAAACTTGTCCCCAGGACGGTGTGGTAGATGCTGTGCTAAGAAAAAAAAAGACAAGTCCGTGAGGGCAGCTATGATAGAAAGAAAGCCACACTAAGGGCCAGGAGAAGTGACGTGTTTCCTTCCCTTATTTTCCTGCATTTCTCCTCAGTGCTCATTGTCACAGGGACATCTCCCTGAGCTGCACGGTTGGAAGGTGAGCGTGTCCCTGCTGATCTGAGCTCTGCAGGCCACAGGGACCCACGTCTTCCTGAAGCATCTCCAGAGCCCGGATGACACTGTCCATGGTGAGGACCACAGAGAGGTGCTGATGGACGGGCTGAGGAGGAAGGAGACCCCATGGGGGAGGCTCTGACAGGGAAGGACGCGCCCTGGGTCACCTCACCTGAAAGGGGCGTCTCAGGAGGCTCTGGGTCTATTTCCTGCTTCACCATGGAAACCAGATGTGGGCCTCTGGAAAATGAATGTTTCCCTTTCTGTGGGGCTGCTGAGGTGAGAACCCTGGGACAGCGAGGACCAGCCCCGAGGGGCCACACCCTGTGTGTCTGTCTGTTCAGAGGACACTGTGGCCTCCAGCATCTGCACAGCGGGATGCAAAGAGAGGAGACGCCATGACTCCCACCCTCACAGCCTTGCTCTGCCTCGGTGAGATGGGAAGGGAAAGGGAGCCCTGGTCTGTCAGGACCCCAGGACGCAGGAGGTCCATGGGGAGGCGGGTGCTGCTCAGGGTTCAGGGCAAATCTCTCACAGGGACTCTCTTCCAGGGCTGAGTGTGGGCCTCAGGACCCCAGTGCAGGCAGGTGAGTCTGTCCCCGGGTGTCTCAGGTCCCACTCCTCACTGTGGATGAGGGACCACACCACAGGCAGCTGGGGATGGAGAACAGCAGTTCTGGGCTGACAGATGGGTAACACCTGGGAAGGTCCTGGCCTGACACCTGGGACTAAGGGTAGGAATGTCTTAAACCCAGCTACTGGTTTCCTTCCAGGGGCCATCCCCAAACCCACCATCAGGGCTGAGCCAGGCCCTATGATCCCCTTGGGGAGCCCCGTGACCATCTGGTGTCAGGGGACCCCAGGGGCTGCGGAGTACCTCCTGTATAAAGAGGGAAGACCACAACCATGGAAAAGACAGGAGCTACTGGAGCTGGGGGACAGTGCCAAGTTCTTCATCACATACATGACAGAGCATGATGCTGGGAGATATCGCTGTTACTATCGCAGCCCTGCTGGCTGGTCAGAGCCCAGTGACCCCCTGGAGCTCCTGGTCCCAGGTGAGTCCCATTATTGTCCCAACTATGGATTGAGACACCTTCGCTGGGAGGGGAGCCCCATGTGAGAGAGTGAGGCGAGCACAAGGGCTCCTGGGCCAAAGACACAGAGAGAGAGACAGTGATACCTGGGGGCCAGGCCAGGAGAAGGGGCTTATGGGAGGAGTATCCCCTGTAATTCATGTCTGGTCTCCCCAGGTGAGTCTAGGAAGCCCTCCCTCCTGAGCCAGCAGGGCCCCATCGTGGCCTCTGGATCGAGCCTGACCCTCCAGTGTCGCTCTGATGTCGGCTATGACAGATTCGCTCTGTCAAGGTGTGGGGACAGGACCTCCTTCAGAGGTTTGTCCTGCAGCCCCAGGCTGGGCTCTCTCAGGCCCATTTCCCCCTGGACACTGTGAGCAGCTCCCACGGGGGCCGGTACAGATGCTACAGTGGATACAACCTCTCCTCTGAATGGTCGGCCCCGAGTGACCTACTGGACATCTTGGTGGCAAGTGAGGGGCCATTGGGATCAGTCAGGGACCCAGACTCTGCATAGGCCCTGCTGGGGTCTCAGGTGGTGAGGCCAGAATGAAAGTTCAGGCCCCAGGGAGGGAGATACAGAGAGAGACTTGGGGGGGGAAGTGGAGAGTGGGAGACTCAGAGAAACAGAGACATAAAAAGAAGAGGGTCTTCAGAGAGAGGCCTGGTGACTCTCAGGTCAGAA